CGTTACTAATTAATGTCACACTTTGTATAGCACTGACTGTCTTATGCTATGCTCTGTTTGTTATTTGTTATATTTTCTTTAATAAAAAAATTTAAAAAAATATCACAACATGGATTCCGATGTACTTGTACTGTGTCTTTTGCGACGACTATAATCGTGATATGAAATTTTCATACCGTTACATCCCTATTACCTACTCAGCATTTCTGTGCTTTAGACACCCATAAATGCTAGGTTAGGCACTGACAGCTTACTACATATTGAGAACTACTACATATTCAGAATAAGACTTTGAGAACAACTGTCAACTAAATGATGCTGTTGATGCTCCAAGTTCATTCATTCACTCACGCACTCATGCATTCACTCGTTTTTGTTACTTACAGCTCTGTGACCTCCTGTTCTTCTTCCCAAGCCTCCTTATGTGTAAGCTGGCTGCTGCCAGTGCTTTTGCATGTCCATATCCGCTCTGCATACCTGCGCAGTCGAGCTTCATACTCTCTGAACAACAGTGTTAAGGACAAAAAACACTCAAACACTACATGGCTTCTAGCTCTTCTAAAACTTCTAAAATCTCAAGCAGTACTTCCAAAGCAGAGCTGATCAAGTGATGTTAGCTCTGCTGTCCATAGTCTGAAAGCCTCATTCATAATTAATGCATGCGTGTAGCACAGCAGCTCAATAATTAAAGGGCCAACAGCAGCAGAACCAGCATGAATTAATTAATGAAACAACTAAACTTGCAATTAAGAACAGTAATGGTAACCAAAAAAACAACAGCCTCAGTAAAATTGTTATTACAAGCACTCTGAAAGATTGAAATCATTTCAGAGCCAGAGTGCACTGTTCACGTGTTACATAAATGTGTATCAACCATAATTATTAGTGGTCACCCGGTATGGGCTTTAAATGCAGGATGTCAGTATATCTAGAAACCTGGGTGTTTAACGACAGCAAACAAATTTAGACAAAATTACTCGGTTTAAAACAAAACTTTTTTTTTTTTACTATGACATGGATGTCAGTAGATTTTATAACTAATACAAGGATGACGCTTATCAGAAGGGATAACACTTCTGTTAATCAGACAAGCAAAATTTAGTGGCATATAAATATCGGATTAATCAATATATCACCCGATGTATTATTCTATCATTATGTATAAAGCACTATGACATGACACCTCTTAAGATGCTAAACTTTGACTCAAAACTTGAGCCAAGCTTGATTCAAACACCAATTTGGCAGATCTAGAACAAACTTAAACCTAGAAAACACGTTAAATGATGGAAAATCGTCTAGTTTTAAGTGCCGAGATGGACCTACTGAAAGCATGCGTAAAGTTTAAGCACGTGAGTCAGACAGACAGTTTTCATATACATAAGCTTCACCTTCAAACTCAATCGTTTTGCTATCTGAATAAAACCTTCATCCTTTCAGCAACACGCCTTCACTCTAAAGGCCCGCCCTCCACAGACCAGGCGGCCAACAAGATGTCATAATCCCCGAAAGCGCAGTGATTGATAAGCAGTAAACGTTTCTGATTGGCTAGCTTTCTGATTCCGTAACAAGCACCTGGGTCACTTTCCTTTTAGTTTCTCTGGAAACCTAGTGCAGTGATATCTGTCAGATCAGAGATTTTGTGTGGGATAAATCAAAAACACGCTTACATAGCAATTAAAATATAATGTCTGGAGCAAGTACTAGTTATATTAAAAAAAAAAAAATCGAATATTTCTCAAATATGAATTAAACAGCATACACCACAGAACGAATATACTTCGTTGCGTATGTCATAAAGTTCATCTCTACACATCCTGTCCAAATGACCAAATTCACGTGGCGCGCGAAAACCATATCGCGCAGCAGCAGCACATGAACTCGTCTCGCACATTCCCCTCCAGCAGCAGCAGCCTGAGCTAAAACAGTTTATACAATCATAAACACACACTCCAAGCATATAGATAACTATTACGCAGTCTCGCTCAACAGATGGTTGGCTGTTCGGGAGCATCAATCTATAAGCTCACATCATCACATATGTCCCTGAACTGTAAATGCGCGCTCGTGTGTGTTACACAAGATTGAGTCATGGCAGTTCGGATGAGAAACTGTTTACGTTAGCCAGACGTTACACACACACCCTGAAGCTAGCTCGCTAGCACTAGCTCGCTCTAAAATGCACACAGAACAACAACAACCCCTCAACAATACGTATTTCGCCATGCTTCAGTACTCCAAATCAGACAAATATAACATTTAGCACTGTCTTAAGAGTTAAGCCCCTGCTGATCTAAACGTCATGGTCACCTTTAGCCGGTTAGCGTTACAATGCGATGCGGCGCGCAAGATGAAAACAATAATAAAGGCATAAATGGACACACTGCGCTCGCACACGCTCAGACTCCACGATCAGCGTGGAAGCAACGGATCGAGAGTTCTGCAGGCACGTGTTTGTATGTCTAGTGCTTGCAAGTGGTAGCGGAGACAGTGAGAAAGGATACTCTTTGTTCCTGAAGGCCTCTTTAGTGTGCTCGATGATGAACACCTCCTCTCCTGGGCCCGGCGGCTCCGACAGCGGCTTAACCAAAGGGTACGGCTTCCGGCCTAGTAGAGGTGCCATCGCGGGCCTGCTGCGGTAGTGGATATGTCTGCAAAGTGAACTACTGAACTAACCCCCCCGCTCAATCTCAGCTTGAACTGAATATGCCGTGAAACCGCGCGTCTCAGCGGCGTAGCATTGGGCTAGGCTAACACGCTGCTTTACTTACTTTTAAAAAGCGCGTGAAAACAAAAGTACTGTTTTGTTGATCAATTATATCTCCCGTGTGAAATCCGCTGGTTTGGGGGAGCCGGTGGAGTCATGGTGGGATGTCTGAAGACAGCGTAAGGAGTGAACGGAAGGTGCCGGGGATGGAAGCGCGAAAGGCGGCCCGTCAGAGCTGGTATGGCGGGCTTTCTTATGCCGCTCAGGTCCGTGTTGTAGTCGATTCTCCAGGCCAAAGCGTCGTACCAATTCCCTATCCGCAGCGACTATAGACCGCGTAGATATTGTTTTGAGGGACTTGCTGATTACATAAACAAACAAAAGGGTTTATAGCTGATTGAAAAATGGCGGGAGTTCCTGCTACACCGGCAACATTCCGTACAACCTCAAACCTCCGTTACCCCGGTAGCAAGCAGCGACGCAAGGATAAGTCCCACCCATCGTCTCCAACGATTGGTTACTAAAAAAAATACGACACAGACTGAGATATTTGATTGGCCGATTGAACTGTCAATTATACCTACTCCACCTTTTGTCAAAGCAACACCCCTCCAATCACAAACACAGTGTTTGGAAGCGTGGTTAGAGGTCAGTTTATGGTAAATTCATAGATTATTTGAAAATGACAGTATGCCGTTTGCCTCATATACTTTAGTATTAATAACGGACATTTTATTTTCCATTAGAACAAAATGTATATGGCCAAATGTCTAGAGTTTAGCTAAAAGAGGCAGCGGTTATAGAATTTAAAAGGAGACAATAGAACTTGCACACGACACTTTTGGTCCAATTAAAGAGACAGTCTTGATTAATATGTTAATACCAGTCTTGGCAGTGGAGACAATGTACATTAAAAGATCGTTTTTCACGGCCACATACAGTATGAATTAATAAAGCTCTGTCTTAAGCATTCAAATAACGCTAAATTATTAAATTTATATAAACTCATTTAAACACTGTATTGGAATTATATAATTTCAAGAGAATCATAATTTTGGGAATCGCCCGTAAAATCATTTCATATGTACAATAGTGTTCTGTCTCTGCCATACAACTTTGCAAATTATGCAATCGGTGGAAAGCCGCATTTATTTGGTTTTATTTCCATCTGTCTAGTGAAAAGGTCCAGGTACATTTTTACCAGGCAACGCTACATGAATCATACACAATTTTTTTTTATTTTTTTTAAATACTTCAAATACTATGGAAAGTGGAAGCCTTCATATTTAAAATACAAATCTGTGAGTGAGCTTACCATTTATAAAATATAAGCATTCCTTCTTTTTCAATAAAAAGTTTGATAATTAGATGCAGTACATTGAACAATAATAAACAAATCAAGAAACAGATAACACAGATGTTAATCAACACTGCCTTAAAATGCATGCATTGAAGTATTTTTACAATAAAACAAAGTAAAACAAGCCAATAAAAGTTATTTGTATAATCTGAAAAATATCAAAATGAACTGTTTTGTCATACTGTATATACCAATCATTACTCCATGCAGACACATGTATTATACTCACAAAGTCCTTTCTCAATTTAGAATGAGAAACATGCAAGATAACAGTTTATTTTCAAGATGCAATACAAACTGCTTTACCTTCATAAGAAAATGCCTGAAAAGATCTAAGATCATCTTTTTAATGTACAAAAAAGAAAACATGTCAAGCTTTTTTTTTTTCTTGATCATTTACTGTAAAAGTGAAATTCAGGCATTTGACAGGTTGTAAAAAGTCTCTTAAATGTACAGTTTAGTCTCTTTCAGAAATTCTTCTATACTTTTACCTGCAATGTTCAGCATAGTGGTGCTAACTGAGAGTTGAGGTTTGCTCAGTGCATACTCTTTTAAGCGGTGGGGCTCCAATCACCTCCTCTTCCTCCTGTGAAAAACTTTAACAATTTTAATTCCCACAATGCATTAGGTGAACATTTATTTGAAGGCTAGTGGATGTTACCTGAGTAGAGAGAGACAACACATCTTCTTTAATTAGAGTTGGGGGCTCATCCGTCACCTCACTGCTGGTTGTTGATGAATCTAAATATGGGGTTTGATCATGAAAATTAAAATGTACAAATACATGTACACATATGAAATGAAAGATTAACAATCATTACTGTTATCTTACATACTTCGGTGAATCTAACAAAACATGTCAAGACCATGCATACAATAAATTTTATATCACCCCAAAAATAAAAAGGAAAAGATACTAAATTAAATGTTGCTTTGAATTTAAGCCTGTTTCAGGACCATTTCGATATTTTTTGCTATGGCATTATTTTATGACAGTTCAGCACAATTATACCCAAATTCTAATTTTCGAATTTCATTATTGTATGTGTACAATTTTTTTTTTTTTTAAAGCAAATTTTTATTTTATGCTACCTCACACGAAATACATCATTGTATTGTCTTGTAATACAGTAAAACAAATCTATATTACAGCAATGAGAATCACTACTCAGGATAACGGATATTGAAAAAAAAAACTCAAATGGTTGGAATAAATAAGGTTTATTAATGTTTTAAATGAAGTCTCTTCTGCTCACCAACACTGCATTTATTGATCAAAAATACAGTAAAATAATAAATTCACATGATCCTTCAGAAATCATTCTAATATGCTATTTTGCAGTTCAATTATTATTGGTACTCAATTATTAATATTAATTAATGTTGAAAACAGTTTTTACTGCTTAATATAATACCCCATCAACACATGAAATGTTATTTGCATTATAATACTAATTTGCATTTGCTTTGAAGACCAAAATTTTGTTTCTGCCTTGCCAGTTAGGTAAATAATCTTTTTACGGAATGTTTTTTCACTGGCTTGTCTCACCTCTTTCGGCATCCATGGTCTCCTGTCCCAGGGTGGGCGGCTGGGAATCCTCTGTACGGAAGTAGGATGCATGGGAAGGGCTCACTGAGTTGCTGCTGCTGTCCACTTTGGTATTAGACTGATAGGCATCTGATAGGAAACTCTGGTTACTGTTGTCATCTGTTTAGGAGAGTGAATGAATGAAAAATATTTGTGTGAAGTCTCCTGAAGAAATATGTCAATTATGTTTAAGTACCTTAGCACACTGTAATGTAACAGTACATGCTATGGTAAAATAGATATGCAAACCACACTGTCAAGATGCAAGGCCATTTATGTAACTAGACTAGAGCATAACAACACAAACCAGTGTTGCATTATATATATATATATAGAGAGAGAGAGAGAGAGAGAGAATGTTCTGAATTGTTTACAGAGGAAATATCAAGTTCCCTTGTTGTGTTTGACATAAACATAACCTTAAGTCCTGTATTACCCTGAAAATCCAGTAGCACAGAGCGGGCGTTTTCCAACACTACATCTGTAGGAAAGCCCTTCAGTTTCCTCACTGCAGTCCCTGACACTTTAGGCTTGTATATCTACAAGAAAGAAAAAAAGACATTTTGAAAATGAACACTGTGTTTATATATCTGAGAAGTGGACAGCTGCTTGAGATGGCATAGTATACACACCTGTTTAGTCTCTGTAACCGGGACCCATTTGAATATCCGTAATGATGTATCTCCCACTGTAACCCACTTTTTTTCCCTAAGAGGACAAACACGTTCCAGGTTAATATCACAAAAATGGCTATATTAAAAGAAGACAATGAAATAAAAATTTTAAGATTTTTACTTTTTCCCCAAAAAAATTCTGAATACAGTTATGCAGCTGTATGTTTTCTCCTTTGAGGCTTTTTGTAGTTTCTGCTGTTCTCAATGGTAGTTAGCATTAGATACTCAATTTAGTACAGTATTTTGTTTACCACAACGCAATAAAAAGTACAGTAAATGTATAAATCTTTATTTAAATAAAATATTTATTATTGTATTTATAGTTATCATATTGCGGTAAAGACTTAATTTATATGAAGAAAAAAAACCTACCATAAGTTCTTGGCAGGTTTCGCGAGATTCACAAGGATGTTCAACAGAGACTAACTCAAATTAATATATAAAACTGATCATTTTTACATTTCAGACATTCCAAGCAGAAATGTATATAACAAAATCCCTTCACTCCATTACAGACCACCAACAGATTGTTCAATCCCCATTGTCCCGTCTAAGACACGCCCACATACTGTATACAGTGAGGCCCATTGGTTGCCTTGCTTGTCTGTCATGTTACTGAATGACGTCACCCTCCCCGCCACTCTGAAGTTTATTTTTGTAACGTAGAAGAAAAGAAACTTGTCTCCCGCTTCAAACAAGCAACTTACCACCGACGGACCCTTTCAATTGCCGCCATCACTTTTTTGATATCATCTTTTGCACGGCTGCGTGTCTCCGCTCGCACGGACCGTCCCGACATTTTAATGGGTTTTATTAGTTTGTCAAGATCTCCCTCTTTTTCTTGCCTTCCTCCGTCTGTGACTTGATCTCGCCCTGTCTTCGTCTCTGTCTCGCGAGACTTCATAACGCGCTACTGGCACTGCCTCTGCATTATTTAATTTTTTTTTACATTAGCCCTATTTTATTTATTTGTAAATTTATTTGCATTATAAAGCATTCTTTAGATTCTGTTATCTAATAGCCACAATATGAGTGTATATGACATTAAAAGAAGCTGTTACGTGCCTATAATGTCCTCATCACACCACCAGATAGCAGCGTTTTTCACTTAAAAATACTCTCCATTCGATTGACAGGAACAGGATTACTGTGCAGTACATTTCATGCCTCTATCATGTTATATTTGATAATTATGTGATAAACGTGGACAAAATATTACAAATATGTAAATGTTTTTAAAATGTAAATGATTTTAAATTATGTTCTTTATAAATAAAAACTGAACATAGGATTGAATTTTAAACTATTTTGTCCCCAGCTTAAACTCACTTCTAACATGATGCAAAAAAAAACAAAAATCGAAATTATTTGTTTTTCAATCAAAATATTTAATGATGCAAAAAAAAAAAGCAAAAATCTAAATTGTTATTAGTTTTTCAATCAAAATGTTTCAAACGTTGTGTATTGTTTTAATATTTACTACATTCATTTTTTTAAGTTAAAGTTTAGGTACTACATAACAGAAATGTTGTAACAATCTCATAAAATATATTTGCCATCTCACTTTATCAGTAATTTTAAATGGCTTTAAACTGAGTGACACTGGCAACTAATATTAAAAATAAACAAAAAGACAAAACACATAATTCATTAGATTTTTATTATAGATTTTATTGATGCTCTCCCTCTGCATGTTGACAGTCAAACACAATTCAGTCGTTCAGAATTTATCAAACAACCTTCACACACACACACGCACTTTACACATCAGAAGGCACACTGAGTTTCTAAAAAGCTGAATCTTTTGACTATCAAACATACTACAGTTGTGTTGTTACACCATAGAACTCCACTGCAGCGATGAATAAACCACATCACCCTCCACACTCTCATCCTTTCCGGTCTCACTGCGGCTCCACGGAGAGCAAAGCAAGACAGTTTTCTTCACATTAGAGCCCAGACGAGCTATAGCTAGAATATCACAGAGAGGTAGCTCTTCATTCATGGAGATGCATAATGCAATGAAATGAGCATGGAAACGCAGAGGATCACCTGCAAAATGTCAAAATAAAGATCTCAAATGTTAAGCTCCACCGAAAATACATTTTAGATATCTGTAATCAATGAACAAACAGGCCTTTTGATATTCCTGGTTGACGCAAACATACCTGGATACACCAGGAAATCTCCTCCGAACTTCCCTGCGGAGGTCAGGTAGAAGCCTCTGTTCCTCAGATCTCTGTATACACAGAATCTAGTGTTCAAGCGTTCATCTCTAGGCATTGGCCAATCAGTGGAATGGAAACTGCGTTCCTCTGGACAGTGGCTGAAGCCGGCGCGAGCAGTGCAGAGCTGGACTGCCATGGCCGACCACGGGAAGCGGAAAGCCTGGTCCAGTGCATTAAGACGGTCTCTAATTGCATTGCCAGAGTCATCAGTGCCTGTGGGATCATATACAGTAACAGGGCTCTTATTGCAACAGACAAAAACACGCAAAATTATTTCAAAATACCCATCTTGCCAATTATCCTCATAAACGCAGTCAGTAATGACTAAAGTGAACCTAAACAGTTGAGAGAAAATCGGATGCGTGTCAGTATATTTAATCTGAGCATAAGGTATAAGTGACAACAGCCTAATAAACCTGCTGCTGTCTGTGACAATGTTATCAAACAACAAAAGACAAAGAAAAAAAGTCACTCTCTGCTCTTGACTGAATAAATTATATAGCTTTAACAAAGATTAATATACATTTAAAGGTGCAATGTGTAATATTTACATCGATCTATTGACAGAAATGCAATATAATATACATAACTATGTTTTCAGAGGTGTATAAAGACCTAAATGCAATATAATATACATAACTATGTTTTCAGATGTGTATAAATACCTTAATTAATTAACCGTTATGTTTTTATTACCTTAGATTGAGCAATATCTATCTACATACACCGCGGGTCCCCTTACATGGAAGTCGCCGCCATGTTTCTACAGTAGCCCTAAACGGACAAACTGCTCTACACAGCGCGTTTCGTCACTTTGTTTTTCTTGCGAATAAAACACTGACACAATGATTAACAAGTACATTAATATTCGCAATAACATCGATTTATTAAATAATTAAGTAAATATAATTCCTTAATTTATCTTTGTAAAGAAATCTCATTGCTCTCTGCTGTCTTTACCGACGACATCTTAGTCCTCTCATTGCTCTCTGCTGTCTTTACCGACGACACCTTAGTCCTGTATCGGCCACCGTAGCTTCTCTAAAGGGAGGGGTGAGCGGGGGACTGAGCAGTTGGTTGCAATTCGCAACCTCACCGCTAGATGCCGCTAAAATTTACACACTGCACCTTTAATTTATAGTTATTTTACATTTAATTACTTCCAAGAAATTTCTTACTAGAATCTATGGTTAGACCAACCTGAAAACTAAATACAACTAGGTTATATGGGTCAAAAACAAACCCATATATATTTTTTTGTGTTTGTGTGTGTGCCGGGGGCCAGTATAAAAATCCTGAGTATGCATTTTGTTTTATTATGATGTTAACACAGTAGCTGATTTTTATAAAAATGTCCAGTACTTTGTTTACTTTTACTGCTAAACGTTCTGATGCCTTAAATTAAACTTGTAAACATGTATTTAATTGTATTATTTGTATTTAATCTTAAGATCTCGCTATGGATGTGATGTTTGGGCAGTTAAGAAATAAAGAAATTGGGCAGTTAGATTTAATTTTTTTAACGATAAATAGGTCAAGAGCATTATTTGTGAGGTGGATACTGCCACTGACCTGTCAGCTGATCAATACATTTCAGTAAAAGGATTTAACAAATTTAAAATTATTATATGTGAATTGTA